TGAGAAGATCCCCTTTCATGCATACTGACCCGAGAATTCCTACTAGAAAGTTAATCAAGTAAAACTTAAAAAACATTTTCTTCTCTCATAACCCTAACTACATTAAAGGCAGAGCCATGTAAATCAATTCATGGATTATGTCAGAAAAAATAAATAAAAAAAGAGAAATAATAGAAAAAAATTTTGGCTTTAGGACGAGAAGAATACTTTTTAAAGGTAATTATGCTTTTAGAATATAATAAAACCTCAAATTTTATTCAAAAGTAGTAAAAATAGTTATACTAAAAAATTTATTTATAATGAATGAACAAATATAAATTTCTATTCAAATAGTTATGACTTTTTGTATAATCATGACTTTTATGAATAATAATTTATTTATATTCAAATAGTTATAATTATTTGTCTTATGATAATTATTTCTATTCAAACATAATTATTTAAAATACAAATAAAATTAATACAAAAATTAACTTTACTCATCAATAATTAAATCTTTCTATCTAATGTGAGATGCATCACATTTTAAACTGTCAACAATTCTCCACTAATTTGGAATATTGATGCTTAATCATTAACCTTTCACACAAATAAATATTATGAATACAAGAAGATATCTCTCAATTTAAACCTTCAATTAATATATATATATATATATCTTAGAATTATAATGAAGTTGATGTTGTCTACAGATTAAACCTCAATTTCTAGTATTAAAATTGAATATATAACACACATAATACTTATTTATTCTTCTATCAAAGGTTTATAATCACTTTAGTACTATTATGACTATGTGTTTATCCTATTCCTAAGCATTTACAAAAGAGTCTCAAATTCTTCTCGTTGAAACGCCATCACTTTTATATTTATATAGACAGAGTTTTCATTATATCTTCATTACTTTAGACATTTAAAACTCTATTAAAAGTATAAAAACTCATTCTCTCTACACAACAGATCACACTAATTTCTAAAATTTGAATAAATTTTACTAGTGCTTAACAAACACATAACAATGATTTATTTTTACACATTAAACTTTGTAATTAGAGGTTACTAATTCAAAGTTGGGTTCCATTATTGGTGTCTAATAGTAAGGGTAAATCCATTCTACTTGTAGTACTACTAATCAAATATCTTGAAATTCAATTTTTTTATGATAATTAACCCCACTTGAGATTAAATGTCTAATATAATTACTTTAGATTAATATGTCCAAACTTTTTATTTTGCATATCATTTATATACTCCAAACATTGTTGTCTCATTTTCATTATTTTAAGAAATAGTTGATTTTGATTGTGGTCACAACTCTATATTCATAAATTTTAACCATTCTATTTTTGTACTTTTATACATCTTTAATATAATTATACTTTTAGTATAATTGGATAAACTTAATGAATAAACCAAATCATTTTAATCCTTTTAAGATTTTTAAGAACCTTTTTTTTTACTTTAATAAGTGTCTAAAATTATTAGTTTGTATAATTTGCTCATCAAAATTATACTAAAATCTAACAACACTATGATGACATTTTTTTATTTCTTTTGATTCTTATCACCGCCATCATGTGCAAATATGCATTATTTTATTAAAGTGTCTCATTCAATTATCAAGATATCATATATACTTAATCAAGTTGCCATTTCATTTATCTTTTCACTATTTGGTGGTTTTTTTTTTTAAAGTAGAAGGCCTCCAAATCCACCATTAGTAAAAGATATCTAGCAAATATTCTGTATCTTTTTTTTTTTTTCATAAAAGTTTCAAAACTTTAATATTTTAACTTAATATAAGAGTTTACATCAATAAGTAGATTTCAAATATAATCATGATTTTATAGTCTCTTTTTAAGACTTTTTATATCAATTCATAAATACTTAAATGAATATATTTCATCGTGGACATTATTAATATATATATATATATATATTTTACCATGTACAAAATCATTTTCATCACCCAAATGGATCAAATAGCCTTCCTTTTGCCAATATAAAAATTTTCACATTTACAAGATCTTTGAATCATTTATAACTTTCAAAGTAAATATGCTTTGAAATTTTCACTATATAAAGCCATAGAGGATAAATCATTTGTAAAATCCATGAATTAGACCATATACATAACAAAAATTATCATAATGTGATCAAGATTGTAGCATCAATTTTGGCTTATGGCTATTTTAAGCCAGTCATAATAATCCACATCGTACCTATAAATCATGTAGTTCGGCTATTGAATCTTATTTATAATGATGCTTTTAGTGAAAACCAATTATTTCAAATGTTATCATGAGTTTTCAATGCATATATTAATTGCCCAATGGCCAATTCCAAGTTCATGACTATTGAAATCTTTAAACTTGATTTCAAAATTTTATGAAAACTTTATTTCTTCACCATTGCATACCCCATATATCTTTGTTGTCTACCACTTTTAATTGGTCATAACATTTTCGAATATATAATAAATTCAAACTTTACTCATAAGACAATATGCCTATGTATTATAAGAGTCCATAGTTTATTTAACTCCAATTTCAAATACTTTTCACAATTATTTTGTGATCAATATGTTTATATTTAAATCACCATATCAATGCAAGTAATGAAACATGAATCCACATAATCATTTTCATAAAATAGTATAAACATTAATTATAATATGAGTTTTACTCATATTTCATGCAAAAACTTGTGATGAATTTGTATTGGTTAAATCATTAATTGGCTAATTTCAAGGCTTACGGCTTTCACAAACCAATATTATTATCTAAGCCCATATGTATGATGTATAACTATCTATATCCTTGCCATTATCATGAAACTATTGAAAACCTAGAAAGCTTGTTCACTTTTTATTTAATAGCCTACAAAAGGACATTTTTTGGGTATAAGAAGTAAAAATAGCTTCGTTGTCGTTAACAAATAATGTATTAATTGGATGATAGCATTCTATCTTCATAGTTCATATCTTTCTTATATGTATGTTAAAAAAAATTTCATCCCATTCAATTTATTTTCATAATATATGGCAAATTGTATCAATGTTCTCCATACCATCACAAAATGAAATTAAATACATGTATGTATTAGTGCCTTTGGAACATTGAATTTGCATGTTCTTTTCTAATTTATAAACATGGCTAATTAGGCATTGATGAATATCAATCAAAATGCTAGTAACCATCAAATGTTTCAATATTTTTAATGACATGCCTTTTCTTTTAATCAATATCCCATTTGCGAAAAGCAACAATACTTTTGTGTAACTATTGATTAACTTTTTGAAGGCTATTTATAATTTTCATTTTGTGATTGTTCACAATAAAATTTTATTTTGTAAAATCACTTCTAGTGTAATATACCTAGCAAATACATGTAACATTGTCCATGTTTTTTATAATAACAATTATTTAATTTATTATCCACCAATTAATCCATGAAACACCATATTTTAATAATTATTCATATACGTCAATTTAATTTTAATTTGTTTTCATGAAAATTGAACCTTAGTCAAAATTTAAACCAATAATAAATTTTAAAAAAAAAAGAAAAATCAACATTTGATTTATAAACGATCAACAAAAATAGAATCATACAAATAGTTAGACTCAATTTATTATCTCAATTTTGGTGCAATAATTTAAAAATAAAACTAATATTGCAGTCAAATCTTATTTTCTACATATATTTTTCACTTACATATAATTTTTTATGGTAAATACCTTTACCTATTTTTCATTGTTTTCATAGAAATCATGGGACAATTTGCCTATTCTATATATAACCAAGACATGATAATTAAACAATCAATCATTCCATTAGAACCCAATTTAATTTGTTACTTTATAACAAGTGATAATTCTTTTAATCGCAGATTAATTCATGTTTTTCTCTTTTATATTTTTAAGCTATTTCCCATCCTAGTCTTTATAAGTATCGATTTTTTAAATAAATATAATACAATTCATTTAATCCAATTGTGGAGCTAATTTCAGTATATGCATAAAACTTATGCAATGTAATCAATATTTTGCATATTGTATTTTGACTTTACACATTAATGAAATTAATAACGTATTTATCTCATTCCATCAATTTTTTTACAGTAATTATGCAAAAAATAAAATACATACCTCTAATGAAGATCTTTTGAAAATTAACATTTTAGTCTATGAAAACATTAATTCTTTGATACCTTGAGCTTCCTCTAATATTGACCTCCAAATCATACCAATTTATTTTCTTTGTATTTTCTTCATGTAAAATATAAATTTCTCATAATTGCTTTTAAATTGTTAGAAAAAAATAAATAATAGAAAAGAATTTTGACTTTGAGTTGTGAAGAACAATTTTTTAAAGGCAATTATGTCTTTAGGATACGACAAAGCATTAAACTCTCTAATAAGTAATGAAAATAATTATACTAAAATATTTATTTATAATGAATGAACAAACATAAACATCTATTCAAACGGTTATGATATTTTATATAATCATGACTTTTATGAATAATAATCTATTTATATTCAAATAGTTATGAGCATTTATCTTATAATAATTGTTTTTATTCAAACATAATTATTTAAAATATGAATAAAATTAATACAAAAATTAACTTTATTCATCAATAATTAAATCTTTCTATCAAATATAAGATGTATCACATTTTAAACTATCAACTTCTTAATTGTGACTTTCTTTGTTGTTTCAAGGTTTTTTTTTTCAGGCAAATGCCACTTTTGGTCTTAATTTCTTTAATCAGATCCTGCAGTCAACATCCAGTGTATGGAATCCAAAGAAACAACAAACTTACCTTACCAACGTGAAATGAAAGCCAAGTCCAAAGTCTGCATCAATTTTCATTTCCTCATTTCAGACTATGTTGTCATTGATTCTAACAGAGCCCAAAGTTACTTTTGTTGGATATTTGACATCGAGCGTTCACTTCCCTAAGTAAAAAAACTGATAACATTTACTCTACAAGCTGTTGAAAAGTTGTTCCATACAATTTTGAAGGGAATTTCGTATACCAGCTCTAAAGAAATCGGGGAAAAGCAGGTTTTCTAGAGGAGACTAAATGAAGGTGAAGAAAAAGTGAGCCGCCTACATGACGGAAAATTGTTTAAAATTTTATACGATTTTGAAGCTGGAAAGATGTCAAATTATCTATGGAGTACGATCTGAGAGTATAGCCAGAACTAGCATCAACGTGCTGTACAGTGCAGATAACAAAGAGTCAAATATATTGGGAATGCACTGCCAGAAACAGGTATAAAATTTTATATTCAGAATGATAATCCCAATATAAAACTGAAGATTGCATAACACAAAATTAACACCAGTGGATTATTTTAAAAAGCTAAAGGTGACCATTTAAGCTTTGGAATGCACTTCAACATATACAAGAGCATAAACAAGCAACTTTCAGATAAACTATAGCAACCTGACGAGTAACAAGCAGGAGAATCATTGCTCATAGCATGATCCAGGACCAGTTGGAGGTTGTCGAGCATATTTATTTGTTACTGGTGCAGCTTGAACCCCACGCCTATTCAATAGGCATCTGAAGTAAAGGAACCGAGGCAATGCAGTTAAAGTAATATTTCGTGCAGACACAGCCTCCCTCTTGCTCCACAAGCGCTCTGTAGGAAATCAAAATGGCATTATTAAAAAAAACTTTAAAAACTTTTTTCTTTAATACACAAAAGGTCATCGAATTGTGTCAATGTAAGTGACTTGAATGATTGAATCCAAGAAAAATGTGCTAATACGCAATTTAGTTGCCCTAAATGCTTAACCGCATCTAACACATTTTTATGTAATAAAAGAAAGAAAATTTTTAACCAAATACCAGAAGCTAACAATGATGATTCACCTACCTAATACGCATATTTTGGTACACATTAATCATTACGAGGGATGAATCAGGCTACTAGACAGTAATTCAAGCAATTTGGTTACCCTCTCTCTACCTTTCACCTTTATATTTCCTTTTATCTCTTCCCCTGTCTAAGATAATTATTATGTGGGCTCCATAATCATTTTTCCCATCTAAAAGCATTTATATGCAAGACAAAAAGAGATCGGATAAAGAATCAAAAGACATAATACAAAATGATTTAGACACATAAAAGAAAGGCATTATAGCATTTCAAATAGTTGAAATGATTTCTTTCAGTCCACAAAATGTATAATCAGAAATGTTTACAAAGGTAAGTGATTAGAAAAGGCACTGTCTTGAAAAGTCATCTCACTTCCATACTAGAACATGTATTTCAGATAGAGAAAAGTGAGACTCATTGCAACCCTGAGCGAACCTCTTCAATGAAATCATTTAACGTTCATAGTGGATCCCTAAAAGCCCCAAGTAATCACTTATTATTTGGATCCTATGGAATGGAAGATGTGGGAAAACACTTAGTTACACCTAGTTGTAATTTTATAATCTGTATATTTATATTTGTATTCCTAAAATTAAGGGCAGAAAATTAGCACAAACAATTCCTCAATTATAAGATCAATTTTAAGAAGATTTAATTTTCTAATTTAACCTCTAGTTAGTTGTATATAAATCTAAGGTGCTTGTATAATTCTTAAGAGTAGTTTTTCAATATACATTTAGTTTTATTCTTAGTTTTTCACATAGTTTTATTTTTTAGTTTTTCTACATGGTATCAAAGCTTTAGGTTCTTATTGGGAAGCAAAACTTTCACCATTTATTGCTGACTTCTTTTTAGGTCTTCATTATCGAACCTTTTTTAGTTTTTCTACATGATATCAAAGCTTTAGGCTTTATTGGGAAGCAAAACTTTCATTTTATTGTTGACTTCTTTTTAGGTCTTCATTATCGAACCTTTTTGTGAAATTCAGGACCAAAGTTTGGGAAGATGATTGAACTTGCTAAGGAAAAGGATGGACTATACTATCTTGAAACATCAAACAACACAAATATTATCAAGAATAATTTACCTTTTGTCATTTCTTTCTAAAAAATCTCCCAATAAAGACAAGATCTGGCTTTACCATTTTCGTCTTGGACATCCTTCTTTTGGAACTTTGTAAAACATGTTTCCTTCTTTGTTCAAAAGATTAAATGTTGAAAATTTTCATTGTGATATTTGTAAACTTTCAAAGCATAGACACAAGTCTTTTCCAATTAGTAACAAAAGAAGTTCTACTCTTTTTTGCTTGACTCAGTGACATATGGGGTCCCTCTACAATTCTTAATATTTCTGGTGCAAGGTGGTTTGTTTCTTTTATAGATGATCATATCAGGATCTCTTGGATATTTTTACTTAAATCTAAATCAGATGTGAATAGCATTTTTTAAATTTCCAAAACATGATCCAAAACCAATTTGGAATGCAAATAAAGAGATTTAGGTATGATAAAGCAATAGACTATTTTAGGACCATAATCTATCTACCTATTTCCAAAAAGAAAGGATAATTCATAAGTAATCTTGTGTTAATATTCTACAGCAAAATTGAGTGGCAAAGAGAAAAAACAATCATTTACTAACCACAACCTAAGCCTTACTTTTTCAAGCAAACGTACTCAAATCCTATGGGAGAAGCTGTTCTCACTGCCACACACATTATAAACAAGTTCCTTTCAAGGGTTTTGGGATTTAAAACTCCTATGAAACTACTCTCACAAGTCTATCCAACTTTAATACCACAAACAACCTCACATCTAAGATATTTGGTTGTACATCATTTGTTCATGATCACAATCATAATAAGGGGAAGCTGGATCCTAGAACAGTTAGGTGTACTTTTGTGGGGTATTCATCAACTCAGAAACGATATAAGTGCTATTCTCCTCCTACAAAAAAATTCTGTGTCTGCAGATGTCACGTTTGAAGAAAATAAACCATTTTTTACTCAACCTTATCTTTTAGGGGAGATTTCATTCATTGATGATAAGGGTAAAGACTTCTTTTTGCTTGAATTGTCCTCCTCCTCAACATTTTCACCCATTAATTCTTTTGAGTCTAAACCTATTTCCTCCTCAACATATTCACCCATTAATTTTTTGAGTCTAAACTTGTTTCTTCTGAGTCCAAGTCAATCGCTGAATTTGAGTCTAAACCCATTCCAAACACAGAAGTTGTGATAAAGGATAATATTGTTCTTGATTCTATAAAGGAATTAAAGGTATACTCAAGAAAGAAAGTTATAGCCCCTAAATCAGTGCAAGTCTAAGAACTTGATCCTAACTCTGGAAATGAGGTAACTACAGTCTCTGACTCTATGTCTTAAAATGAGCATGAATCTCTTAAAACTAAACTAGTGATTATGATCTGTCTATTGCCATTAGGAAAAGAACTAGAGAATGTACTAAGCATCCACTATACTAAATCTCTAATTTTGTGTCATTTGAAAAATTTTCACCACCCCACAAAAATTTCCTTGTAAACCTAAACACTATTTCTATTCCAACTACATTATTCGATCATTATCCAATGAGAAATGGAGGCAAGTGATGAAAATAAAAAGGGAGAATTTAGAGAAAAATAAAACATAGGAAATGGTAAAGTTGCCTAAAGGAAAAATTCCAATTGGGTATAAATAGGTTTTCATTGTAAAATACAAGAAGGATGGTACTATTAAAAGGTATAAGGCTTGAATGCTGGCTAAGGGTTACACTCAAACTTATGAAGTGGATTATCAGGAAACTTTTGCTCCAGTTGCCAAGATGAATACAGTTAGGATTTTGTTATCCTTGGTTGCAAATTTCAATTGGCAACTTCAACAATTTGATGTAAAGAATGCTTTTCTACATGGGGATTTGGAAGAAGAGATATATATGAAGGTTTTACCGAGATTTGGAGGTCATATAGAAGCAAACAAAGTATGCAAGTTGAAAAAAGCTTTATATGGCCTTAAACAGTCTCCTAGGGCTTGGTTTGAGAGATTTTCCAAAGTGATGCTAGCAATGGGATATAAGCAAAGTCAAGGAGATCACACACTGTTTATCGAGCACTCGATTTAGGGAGTCACAGTTATATTAGTATATGTTGATGATATAATTATAACCGGAGATGATGAAAAAGAGAGAGAATTTGAGATAAAAGAGCTAGGGAGATTAAAGTACTTTTTAGGAATTGAAGTAGCTCACTCACAACATGATATTTTCATCTCACAACAGAAATATATGATGGATCTTTTGAAGAAAACTGAAAAGCTCATATGTAAACTTGCAATATCCCTACAGATCCTAATCATAAACTTGGAGAAGCTAATGAAAATGCTACTGTAGATAGAAAGATGTACCAGAGATTAGTTGGAAGACTCATTTATCTCTCACACACTAGAACTGACATAGTATATGTTGTGAGTGTGATTAGTCAATTTATGCATATTCCCAAAGAAGTATACCTATAGGCTATCTACTGTGTATTACATTATTTGAAGGCCAATCCTGGCAAAGGTACCTTGTTCTAAAGAAATTAGGAGTTGGTTCTAAAGGCATATACAAATGCGGATTATGCAGATTTGATAATTGATAAAAAATCCAACTCGGGCTATTGCACTTTCTTAGGTGGTAATCTTGTGACTTTGAGGAGTAAAAATAAAATGCGATGGCAAGATCAAGTGCTGAAGCAGAGTTTAGAACAATGGCTCAAGGAATTTGTGAACTATTGTGGTTAAAGATTATCCTAGAAGACTTAAAGATCAATTAGGATGGACCAATGAGACTCTATTATGATAACAAGTCTGTAATTAGCATTACAAACAATCTTGTGCAATATGATAGAACAAACCACATTGAAGTAGACCTGCACTTCACAAAGGAGAAACTAGATAGTGGGTTAATCTGTATACCGTATGTATTAATCAAGGGTCAACTTGTAGATGTGTTTACTAAAGGTCTTAGCAGTGCAACATTTCAAGAAATTATTTCCAAGCTGGGAATGGAAAACGCCTATTCACTAGCTTAAGGGGGAGTGTGGGAAAACATTTAGTTACAGTTAGTTGTAATCTTGTAATCTGTATATTTATATCTGTATACCTAAAATTAAGTATTTGTATCTCTAAAATTAATGACAGAAAATTAGGATAGACAATTCCTCAATTATAGGATCAATTTTATGAAGATTTAATTTCTTAATTTACCTTCTAGTTAGTTGTATATAAACCTAAGGTGTTTGTATAATTCTTAAGAGTAGTTTTTTAATATACATTCAGTTTTACTCTTAGTTTTCCACACAGTTTTATTTTTTATTTTTTTCACAGAAAACACCATTTTTTTTTGGGTTAAAAAGAAAAGGCAGCCATTTCAGCTATGTTCCTACTTCCTAAGTTATTTACATCCTTTGCTTCTTATTTTCTTGTTGGTGGTTTGGGTCAAGATGGGGTATTTGCCGGATAAAAAGAGGACTTTATCTTGAAAAAGAAAAAGCATGACTTGAACATCTAAGGTCAATAAGGCAACATTGAAGTCAAATAAACACTTATATTTAGGTTTTAATGTAGCATAACTTTCACTAAACGCATATAACATACCTGCTGCTGCTGCAGCTCGAGGCCATATCGTTTGCTGAACATTTGATGTATCAGCTACCTCGTCCCACATACAAACTTCTCCTCCAAGAACAAGGTTTTGCTCAGACACATTATTTATTCCTTCTAGTGGTTCAGCATTGTAGACTTGATCCCAAGGAACATCTAGATGGTCAAGATACCAAACACCTTGATTGCTGAAAATGCATCTGAATCCTTTTGCAACAGCATTTGGACAAACCCCAGGACCCAACCTACCACAGTAGATAAAATCATTTATGCTTGGAATACTAAGTAACACCTCTTGCATGCGAATCTTTTTAGTTAAAACTTCTAAGTTTTAAAACTCACCAGTTATGCACCACAGTCTGTGGATTAAGATTTGCAGCAAAAGCATTGAAGGTTTCTTCCCTGAGATGAAGAATATTCAGATTCTTCGAATATTCATATATTTTAAAGAAAAAGATAAGTATATGTTACAGAAAATAGCAAAAGCAATGAAGGTTTCTTCCCTGAGAAGAACAATATTCAGATTCTTCAGATATTAATATATTTTAAAGAAAAAGATATGTAAATGTTACAGAAAATGAAACACTAAAGCAAAATAATGTTTTGATAGCTGATTTTTGTATTTACTTTGGCAGGCTTGTAGAAATAGAATCTTGGTTTCATCTCATGCACATTTTTATAAATTTTATGTAATTTACTTTATATTTACTTGCTACATCCCACAACTTTTAAGAAATCCTATTGAGAACTTAGTGAGAAGAAGTGGGGCTAGACCCAATAACTTGCCATGCAGAAAAAATCCAAAAGCAAAGTCATGCTTAGAATCTTGTTATGCATACCAGTTGACAGGCGTCCAGCCTTTTGAGATTGCCATTTCTTGAGCCTTGAGTACAAAATATTGATATGCATCCTTAGCAGTCATGTTGCGATCGTTGAGCCTGCAATTGTTTTCCTCAGATTAATGGTTTATAGGATGGCACAGCTTGTATCAAAAAGTTACAGCTTAATCCCTAGCATGACAACACTAAATGGCTAAATTACTATCATCCTCATCAAGCTTGATCTATGTAGCAGTTACTTAGAGATCAAAAATCATCGTATAAGAAGTAAATGTTGACCAAAGAGTGAGGCATGCACCACTGCTTTACATGTGGAGTAGAGGTCCAGCAACCTGTCAAAACAATTAGTGCTGGTATTAATAGACTTAGAAAATGGCAGAACAGAAGGCATAACTGAGCATGAAAACAACATCAGAAAGTGTAGAATAGAAGCCCACGGATTTATCTAAGCAAATAAGTCTGCATCACAAAAAGGAACTATTCATTTGAGCTTTTTAAACAGAAAAAAAAAGTTGATGAGTGATGTAACAATCCTCACTTACTGGCTTACACTTTATTCAATAGAATATAGATATTGTTATCAATCCCTAAAATGCTTTGTCATTAATTAGAAGATAAATATACAAGATTTGTAGTGAAACAGTGAGGTTACAAGCACATATAAAGTTTCAATTTATGTGGTTTTCATAAGTCTTACAAAATGAGGTATATATGTTGTCCCCTAATCTAATAACTGTATCAGATTTGTGTCATTCTATCATAGTCTTGCATGCATGCGTCCATGCATATGCAAATATAACAATTAACAAACCTAAGCAGATAACTCAAAATGAAAAAGGGAAGTTTCAGTGAAAAAAAATTTGCTTTCAATCTCAAAACTGTGGGAAGCATGTAGTTGCTTCATTTTAATGAAGAGATGACATAAATGTCTGTTTGCAAGAAGAAAGCCACTCCACCAACCTGTATTAACCTCATCGCCACCCAAGTGGAAGAGCTCAAATGGAAAAATTTTTCTGATATCTGTAAAAGTCAAATTTTAATTATAAATCTACACAAGAGAGAGGCTATATGGCAAATGAGAAAATTAACTGTTACTTGTTATAACGTCTGTGTACAATATGTGTCTATAGGCAGGGTAGTACATGCAGTGAATAGCAAAACCTTGGTTCAAACTCATATTCTTCTAATTCCAGCAAAATCAAATTAACAAGTTCCCTTCACTTTTCATAATATTAGGGGCTTAGTTTGGCAATTGTTTTAGAAAAGAAAGGAACTTAACTCAAAATAACAATGTAAATAGTTATATTGGGGATAAAATGTTTTAGCTCATCAATGATCCCTTTCCATGCAATAATCAAGATTCCGCATGAAGCTATTCTCATACATAGAATGCAGAACCTACAATCGGAGCTAGACTAAATTTTAGATTGCCAAACCTCTTTAAAATAGTTTTGCAATAAAATTATTTCAATTGGTTCTATGCATCTTGTCTACAACTTTATTTCCCTACCAAATCTAATAATTTTTTGGTTTTCAGTCATCCTATGCCATTTAGTTATTATGCATAAAATGTAACCAAATCATCAGGCTGTCCCACATTTAACTTCTGAATTCTGGTGGTACTAATCATTGCAAAATCATCTCCAGTCATCACATATAACTTAAGCAGACAGATGTCAAAAGTAGCTTACATGCTTAAAAATTTTAACCATAGCAAAATCTTTCCCAAACCTGGTAAAGATCCTTAATTCAACCAAAGATCTATAAATTGGGAAACTGAAATCTGGCAGTCTATGTCTATAGGTGAACCAACCAATCTGATGATCAACTAACCTGCTCTGTTAAGATTTTTCAAGCACGATATCACGGGCAACAACTATGATTCTTATCATTAGCATGTTAAAAAGATTATTGTTGATCCACAAATCTAGCACAGTTGCAGAAAATGACTAATACTACCAAGAGAATGGTTTTCATGGAGCTTAACCTGACAGAATGCCAGAAATCAAATCAAAAGTAAAGTTTTTTGAAACATCAAGTGGCTCTCTGCAGGAAGAAGAAGGCCAAAGATCAGGATACCCAGCTCCCCTGCACAAAAGCAGGTCAATTTAAATCCAGGATTTACCAATTAAGGTGCCAATTAAGAAATAAGTGCTAATCCAGTAGATTTCAACTGCCACAAGATGAATTTTACAAATAGAAATACTAAAAAAAGTTGATGTACTCAGAGTTTCTCAATTGAATGATATCATATCAGCCTAAGACAATAATTGGCACTACAAAATACTTTACCATGACTCTGCATGACCAGGGACATCTACTTCTGCCATTACATGGATGCCTGCCATACACCATGCAAAATAATAAGAAAAGTATGCCAGTACAAACTGAATGAGACCAGCACTCATACATGCTTATTTAATTATTTTAAGAAATTGAACTATGCTTTTACCATCAAATCACATAATGTAACTATAAATTTAGATTAAAAGGAAAAGAGGAGCTGTGGAAAGAGGATCAATCTCACCTCTCATTTTGGCAAAGCTTCACATTGGTGCATGAAAATATGAAACAGCACAAAATTAGGGTATGTCTGTGCAAGAAGCTTGAAATACCAAAAATTTTTCAAAAAGGAAAACAAAGAAGCAACACACTGTGACGCGGGACGTTGAGCCATACAACTGGATAGCCAATAAACAAGAACACTAAATTGACAAATTTGGATAAGAGGAGTACAAAAGAGAATAATTTTATCCATGGAGAGCATTTACTTAGTTGTAAAAGGATAAGTCCATCGCTATCATTCATCTTCTTTTACATTAGTGCTTTACCATTTGGTGCCTTTTAATTCAACATTTAACCACTTTAATCCTAGCTGACAAATAACACTTCCCAGCATTTTTCAAAAAATATGATTCAAGATATTAATAATCTGTTTAAAGTTCATAGGCTTGGAGAAGTGACTTTTTAAAATTTTTCCTTTTGATTAATACATATACAATTTCAGGGGAAGGAAGGAGGGAACCAAACCCAACCCTTTGAGTTAGGAGGCACAAGCACCTACCATTGACCTAACATGCGGATGCAAATTTTCTTACTTTAAGGATATAAACATAAACATCCATAAAAATCAAAGGAATGTTTAGAAGTTTTATAGCACAGAAGGTATCTCAGGATTTATAAGTTACATGTATCATACCTAACAATGTCACTCGCATCCTCAACTGTATAGCGTTCCCATTTTGTATAAGCACCATTCCACAAATTTGGATATGTAGGTACTTCTAGAGGAAATGACTGTTCATCTATGATGTGCCAATGAAGGACATTCTACTGAATGCAAAGCTCAAGATCAAAATGATATATATGTATATATATATATATATGTATATATATAAAACTGGAGAAATAAACTATAATCTTCTGAGGGCTCAAATGAATTTCCAACTGTGAAATACAGGATTGACAAAAAATAACAGCTAGCAGCATTTCTTACAAGTTTAGCATAAGACATAGATTCAATTATCTGCTTAATGACATCAATCGGTAAATAGTGCCTTGATGTATCTGTAACAGATTGTATACACAATAGTATCAAGTACTGTTTCAGAAATTGCTATTTAAAAGGAAAATATAGTAACTCTTTGTGTTGCAAACAGAAGTGAGGCATACCAAGCAAAAGGCCACGATATGCAAACCTTGGTTTATCTTTGATGTACCATGGTGCTTTGTATACTTGCACCGATTTAGTCCCATAATTGAAAGCACACAACTGGCTGAATGTCTGGGACATTATGCAAGAGAAGAAAGAGGGAAGAGTCATATAAGACTCCAATCCAACGTATCACAAACATCTGCCTTAAAGAGAAAATAATTCCAAGAAATTTTCCCAACAAAAGACAGTAATTTACGTGACCAATATACATGTATGGCCGTATGTAGATGTGCTAGGAAGGAAAGAGAGTATTTAACCCATTTACTGGTATGTTTTTGACCCATATTTATTAACCTTAACTTACAATTGAGAACAATACTCTCAAAGATTATATACACCAACAATGTACCATAACTATTTCAGTACACAAGTAAATGAATGACTGCATACCTCCAACCCTCTTAACGCACCATAAACAGTATTTGCCTGCCAAAAAGTAGGAAGAGAGACAGAGAGAGAAGAGAATTTCAGTTGTCATTGCACATTTATTTAGTGCAAGTTGACTCAACTTCAGAAATGCTCCTCATATGACATTTACTTCAATGAAGATGAAATTTACACTTGAAAATTTGAAAAATAAAAAACTAAGCATACTTTTTTTTTATTTTTTTGTATTGTCAAGGATTGAATCAGATCACAGGCACTAAGAGTCCAGCACCCTACCAACAAACCACACAACTGTTGACAACTTAGCATACATCATCCCAACCTTCTATGACTGTCAATAAGCCAATGCATGTCCACAGTATACATACAGAAATTCTTATTTAATCATAGGTCAAATTGTACAAATCATCCTCGAATCATGTGAAATGGTGGATTTTCTTACACTTTTAAAAATTTGTTAAATTAAATCAAATTTAAAACAGAATAAGGATTGTGACGTTAACTATGCTTATATAGTCTTTGACTGTAACGACATGGCTTTGACACATTTAACATGGCATCAAAACTGATGAAGTGGATACCTTTTAGACATGTGGCCTATTTTGAATTGTGCGACAATTTAACTTTGCTTGCATTAACCAAAATTCTGAAAATACCTCATACACTTCTTCAATTTCCTCTTTCTCTCTAAAAAAAAATTAACCCTCGCCACCTCTCTCTCCCAACCCATCATTCTTTGCCAATCCTTTCTCACCAGTGGAGGCAATTTCACCGTCGGTGACTCCCTTTCCCCTCCCCATCTGCTCTTCACTCTCTTGTTTACTTCTTTCATCACCTAAAGCATGCCCCCTCTCTGCATCTACCTCCTATAATCTCTTCTTTCCTGTTTGTCTTCAACGCCGTTGGAGCTACTGCCAGCGATGGTAGCCTCTTTGTTCTTCCTCTTCCTTTTCCTTTCTTTTTTTTAATTTCTCTTTTTTCTTTCCTTCCTTTCTCTTCCCTCTATTTTCTTTTCCTCTTCTCTGGCCAAATCTCCCTCAAGCCGAGACTCCCTCATTGCATTCTTCTCTTTCTAGATGTAACTAGATACCTTCAATAAACTTCCATTTTCAAATTTTAAACTTTTGGGTTAAATTTTTGGAAATTGTAATTTCATAGTTAGATTTAACAAAAAAAAAAAAAGAAAGATTTCTGAAATCTGTAAGCGCCCTCTCCTTCGGTTTATTCTTGACATCCTTTTGTTGGTTTGAATTTCTAAAATTTGTGCCATCGAGTAAGTGTTCTGTGCTGATGAATGAAAAGGGTAAAGTCTTGCTGAAAGGTGTTGTTCAAGTTAGATGATGAATTGGGTTCAAATGATATTGTAAGCAATGCTTTGAAAAACAAAAACATAAAAAAAAAAAAAAAAATCCTGTCACTTGCCACTTACAATCTTAGGTTCATTAAGTTTCATTAAAAGCACACAAGAAAAATATGTGGAATCCAAACTTCTCAGGCATGGCAACGTGACAAACATTTTATCAGGTTTATTGCAAAAAATTATTAAAATGTTCTAAAATTTGATTATCTGACTACTCATTAAAGATTATTGTTTACACTTATGCCATCCCCATGAGTAAGATCTTGAAAGAAAGGGATGTTTCGAGGAAAAAGCTTGCTTTGTTCTTTCTGGGATGCAATTTCTGGGTTTCTTTTGAATGTAATTTTTTTTTAAATTTCTTATAAAAGAAAAAAAGAAGGAGAAAAACGGAAGAACAATTATGACACTTTACTTTTTGGCATGTAAAATGGCTAAAAAATTTCACATGTCCAAAATAAAATTCAATGTCATCAATTTTAATTTAGAAGATTTTCACAAAGTGCCATGTCAGATTGGCCAAATACAATGTCAGCACAATCAACCGCCACATCAGCAATATTAACAGCAAGCATTTAACTTCCATTTTAATTAGACTTAATTTAACAATTTATTAAAGTGTAAGGACTCAATTTTGATTAGATTAATGGGTAAAGACTAAATCCACCATTTCATAAAAGTACAGGGATGATTTGTACAATTTCACCTTTCATCATATCATAAGGTTAATTCAAATCAATCAACAATAATCCAGCTAAGTATATTTTGATCACATACTCACACCTTGGAATGCCCATAAACTAATTACGGTGAATACGCTACCAAAGGCACTACTATGCATTAAGCACCAACAATGAAAGCCAGCAAAATCTGAAAACGAAATTGCAGATTTGCAGTCGAACAAATTTGCAATAGCCATGAAAACCAATCCAAATTTCTTTTTTTTTTTTTTTATAGAAAAATTCCCAGTTTAGCCTCCATCGGATAATCAATAGATTCAATACAATAAACCTCACAGAACTCAAAGTCTCAAACTTTACCTCAATTGTTGCCCCCCCAACAATAGACTTCCCATCATTCTTTGCCACAAACAAAGTATAACTCTCATCCACACCCAATTGAAGCTGCCGTAATTAAACCAAAACAACCATCAATAGAAAAAATTTTAATTGAATTTAAATAATAATAAAAAAGCTTTCAACTTACCTCTTCACTATCTGAATTCACAATGATTCTCAATTCACTAATATCATAAACAGATGTTATCCCTCTCAACTTCTCAAAAATGGAAACCCCAGAAACATGTTTAAATATAATCTTCTTATATCTCTCAAATCCTTCCCTCAAAATCTTCAAGTCCCCTCCTTTCCCTGAGACAGACAGAGATAGAGTTGGGTCCACAGCCAAAGTTTCATTGCCAGACGTAAACTCAGATGGCAAAGGCCAAATATAAGTCAACGACTCATCTAATTCAAACCCAGAACTCAAAACTAAAAGCTGAGAAACCCAAAATAATAATTTAAAGAAACTGAATTTGGAATGGGGTTTTTGAGAAAAAGGTAACATTTTTTTCTCTAAGGGTGGAAAGATTGTTATTTGGGGGGAGGGGGTGTTGAGAGTGTGCTTTTGAAAGAAGGTTGAAGCCTTGGCGTGGGGGGTTTGACAAAGAAGAGTTGAATGATAGCTGTTGGTAGGTGACTAGGCTTGGGACAGAAAGAGGGGACAAGGGTTGCGTACCGTCGAGTGAAGTCAAAGATGTGGAGTTTTCAAGTGTTTCAGTGTTTTGTTTTGTTTTTTTGTTTTTCTGTTTTTACATTTTGATGGTTCAGAGAATCAGAGATCAGCACCTCTTTTTTCTTTTTTTTTTTTCATTTGACAAAGCTAAAATTACTTACTAAAATTACTTTTTGTTTATTGGTCTTTGCATTTTTCTTTGTGAAGTAAAACAAAATTATGAGTATTTGATCATAATTGTTTACTTTCTAACTTTTTATTTTTAATTTTTTTAAAAAACTTAATGAAAAGAATATTCAACCAAGATGCATTTACTTAAATTCCTTTTGATCAAAAGTTTTTTTATTGATGAATGGTGAACGTTGTACTTTCATAAACAAAAAATTATAAGAAAAAAATAAATAACAACATCAACAACAATCAAACCAAATTAATAATTAAAAATCTAACTGATCTAAGTTAAAGTACCTAATCAGGATTAATTTTTTTGTGCTGAGCCAAAAAAAAATCTTATGGTTAGTTCGTCAAACACGAAAACAATTGTTCAATATAAAAACAAAAATAATTGGTTAAGAGTTTTTTAAGAATATAAAGGTTTATTACGGTTATTTCTGCGCAGCAACACAAACTTGTGGCTGTAGTTTAGTGGTAAGAATTCCACGTTGTGGCCGTGGAGACCTGGGCTCGAATCCCAGCAGCCACACTTAGCTAAAACGTTTAGGCAATTTTGAAAGTCTAAAACTCCAAATCCGTAACTAAAACGGCGCCGTAAATATTGGCCACTTGGCCTACCCGTATCACTTGTTCTTAAAGCGTTGGTTTCTTTTCCTTCAATCTAAAAGAAAAATACTTGAAATATGGTAAAAGTTGATTACACATAGACAGCTGGGTTTTTCTTTTGATGTTGCCTTGCAAATCTTTTTATGCGAGATTGGTGTTTGATATTTTTACAAAGTAAATTTTTTATTAAAGCCTTTTTTTAATATTTTTAACTTTATAAATTTAACTAGTTTTAAACCCTAGCAATGCACAAATGTGTAATTTTATATTTTATATAAATATATAAAAATTAAAACTTTTTATAAAAAAAAAGGAAAAATCCAATATGAATTATTGTGAATGGTTTTAAATAATTGTCACTTGTCTTGTATTTAATTATTTTAATTTTATTTGATTTAAATTTTAAAATATTTTCTATAATAAATTTTATTTATTTATTTATTTTTACATTTTTAATTTACTTACCTTTTATATAGATGTGAATAAATTAGAAATTTAATAAAAAAATTTTGACTAAACTGATTTTTTTTTCTTTTACATGTTCATTGTTATTGCCTTATTTATTTTAATTCAATTGAATTGACGTTATATAAATACTTAAAATTAAAATTTCAAAATTAAAATTAGAGAGTTAATTAATTTTGAATATCTTCTTTTTATTTTTGTCAAACAAATCAAAATGTTTACATCTGACTATTCAATAACTGTATCAATTTTGGTTTTAAAATTTCATATAAGAATTTTGGTTAAAAACTAACCTAACAAACAATAAATATAAGAAAGTGCATAATCACCGTAATATTTGCAAAACATATTCAATATCTATTGACTTTTAATAAGTTGTTGGTTTAATGGTGATAATAACTTTTAACAGCAACTTTTAAGTGGATTATTTGAATATAGTTTAGTAATTAGTAGAGTTCTTAATAAAAAAATGGTTGGTAAGAAATTAAAATTAATAATCAAACATGATTATTTGATAAAATTTTTAGATAGATTCAATATATAATTATATTGCAATATATTAAAAGACATGAGAAAATTGAAAATATAAAAAGGTTAATAATAGTATGAATGTTTACCTTGATTTAAAATTAATGTATTTGGATAATAGCCTCCCAAGTAGATATTTCAATTTTACCTATTCTTAATTAAGAATCCGATTTTTTACTTTAATAAAAATGGAATGGATATTACATTATGGGATGGTTATGATTTTAAATATTTTACAAGATACGGGATAAAGATGAATAATATAACACACGTCTTGTATTTGTACACATATTATATATATATATATATCTAGTAAGTAGATTTTTAATTAAATAATACAAATTATTATTTTAGATTGATTAAAATAATATATTTTTATTTAAATATATATTAATATATTTATAAAAATTACTTAATTATGCAAGATAAAAATAAAAATAAAAAATTTTATTTTTATTTTTTTTAAACTATAGGTACGATAATTACCCATACCCATTAAATATTCCCAGGATATGGATAAGGATAGATTTAAAATACTTAGTGTGTATGGATATAAAGATAGGTATAATATAAGAATATGATGATGGAATTGGAAATACTCTACTTGTTTTGTACCCTATCTATTGACATCCTTACTTCTAAGTAATTCTAAACTGCATCAAGATACCTTATTTATAATAGATTTTTTTTACCATAAAAGATAGGGAGGTTTTACATTAATTGAGATTTAAATTAGGCATAATTTACGAAAATCAATTGTAATATATTCATTTAAAAAAATAAATTTCAACATGTTTATATTTTCTTACATACTATATTTATAATTTAGGATATTTTATTGAAAATAAAAGGTAACTCAATTGAAAATTTAAAGGGAAATAAATATAATTAATGTATTGAAATATTTTAAATTTATATGAAATCAAATCAATTTATGTCAATTTAAAAGGAAATAAAAATGAATACATAAAATTAATGCAACAAACATGGCAATTATTAAAGGTCATGTACATATCAAAATAATAAACTTGCTATATTAAACAATTTCTTTTTTTGTCAAAAGTTTTAGTTTTTTACATTTATATAAGATTTAAAGGTCATGTTTGATATATAAAATTATTGATAAGATAAAATGATAATCATTTTATATCATGTTTGATTTGTATATAAAAAGAAGAATTGGGATTGCTAGGACGATTAATATCGTCTTAGCATAAGATTATTCAATCCTCCTTAAATTAGGAAGATTATTTTTAATCCATGAGATTAAACTTACATATCTAATTATACACTTAAAAATTCTATTAATAATTTAAATTATATAAACTTTAAGGAAGGATAATTTTGACAAATAAATAAATTATCCTATCTTAATCCCTACATATATCAAATAAAAAATAAAATACTATTATTTAATCTAATCTTATTCGTAATATTATTTTATCATATATTATCATAATCTTATATACCAAACATAACCAAAATACAATTACTCTTGATTTAGTTTTTAATTTATTTTAGTCAATTAGTCATTCAACAATAAATAAGATTTTTTCTTCACATATTAATAAAAAACATTGAATATCTGTTATAATAATGGAAATAAGATATTTGAAATTAAATTTATTTTACCGTTACATTTTATATTTTAAATTTGAAATGCATAATTAATTTTGAATACATGTCAATCTTTTAGATTGTCTATATGTCAAAATATAGATTATACACATCATATTATTTTCTTTTTGTTAGAGGCTTTGACTTTTATATATTTATATAAGATTATTCTTGATTTGGTTTTTAATTTATTTTAATCAATTAGTCATTCAAAAATACATAAGATTATTTCCTTAGTATTAATAAGAAACATTAAATATGTGTTATAATAATGAAAATAAGATATTTGAAACTAAATTTATTTTATCATTAAATTTTAAATTTTAAATTTTAAATGCATAATTAATTCTAAATATTTGTCAATTTTTTCGATTGCCCACATGTTAAAAATATAGACTATCTACATCGGATTATTTTCTTTTTGTTAGAGGTGTTGTGTTTTATATATTTATATAAGATTTGTTCTACACATAAAAAAGGTGCATATTGATTGTCTCACTTTATAAAATTTATTAATTAAATTAATTTTACTTTTAGACATTGCCCACAAAGATTCAACCCTAATTGACAAGTAATTGAACCCATTTAGCTTTTCCCTGAATTATAAGATATTTTCTCTGATTGTTCTCAAAGCTCGCTTGTGGCTAATTTATGCTTCTTTATCAAGGCAAACTTAAAATAAAATCATTGAGGGGATAAATCTTTAAAAATTATTTTGGCCAAAAAAATTTTATAAATTATATTTAATCACTCTCTTTGTTAGAAAGAAACATCCCAAGGATTATTAAGTAATGGGCCAAATTCATTGTCATAACATTTTGTTGATTTAGATCAAGCTATTCTTATAGCTTTTATTAAATCAAAAGTATCACTGGAAGCAAAGGAATCTCTTTTTAATAATTGTTGGTGAATGAATAATGGAATCTTTGCTTAACTTACCAAAAAAATGGATTATGTTTAATTTTTTGAAGAGATGCACTTATTACACTAAAGAATTTGATACCATTCTTTACCTCAATATACAAGTTTCCAAATAACTAAATTTTTTATTGTAAAAATTACTGAGCTTTAATTGGAAATGATCTTTTTAACATAACATTTCAACTCCAATTATAATTGTGGGAATCGATATGTTCTCTTATAAATTCTTGATTTGATATAGCCATATAGGGAAATAATAGGAAAGTTTTCTCTTCCCTTTTTGTGTTAATAATCACAAAAAAAAAAAAAAACTATAAGGTTCAATCCTTCCATATCCTCATCTCATTTGAGTGACTGCTTGATATACAATATTAGGATCTAACTATTTGAAGGATTTTGCTAATCAATACTTTAAAATACCTTTTTAAAGTTAGTATGTACTTTAACTATATATTTTTATCTAATGTATCAAAATCATCATATTTTTATAAATAATATTTTTTTGGTACATAAATTGAGTATAACTCATGAGCAAGGAGAAGAAAATCTTAATTTAAAATCAAAACCTCTATGTCCTCCTAAAAAACTCTGTAATCACTAAGTCAAGGAGTTAAGAACTTATAAATAACATATTCGCTAATAACATCTTTGCTAATGCCTTTCATACAATCGTTAACTAAACCCTAATGTCATATTATTAGGCTTCTTTTCACGTTTGAACAAAAACATTAATTAATACATTACGCCCTTAATTACAAATTAAGTTTATGATACAAAGCTT